TTATATTATATTATATTATATTAGTTTGCAGCAAAGCAAAGCAACGCAAATGATGCTTTTGCAAATTATATTAGGCTAAGTAGTCCTTACTCCAAATCTAGAAAGAGATTCACCATGGGCTTCAGCCGGCCAGTGTGGTCACGTGATTTCAAACCACGTGACCTATAATAAGGAAGTCCGTTCAGGGGAAGAATCATGTGAAAACAATCATCGAAACTCGTGTTTTACTTTGTGTTTTTGACTTCGACATGGCTCTGTCGGAGGTGCTGGTGTGTTTAAAGCTTCTCCTGTCTCTACACATCTTGTCTCGTGTCGGGACTCGGGGACAGCAGCAGTGGCCTGTCCCCTACAGGTAACTGTTTTTATGAACCGCGCTGGAAACTGCTGTGAAAACCGGACTTCTTGTATTTTATCAGCTGATTTTAAAACAACGAAATATGTAATCGTCTGTTTTTGTCAAAAACTTGTTAAAGTCAGAGTTCCACTCTCCATATTGTCATTATTAAAAAGTTAAACATGTTTCAATCAAACTGAGACAACCTGGAGGAATCACTCTGATGCGTTTAGAGACCGTATGAAAATCTGATATTCTTTTTTCCCCACATAAATATACAGTTTATCCTCTGCTATTATTATTGTACTTAAACTAAAAGTAGGTTTAAAAGTTTCATACAGTTATTTGTAAACACTAAATCTTGTTATTTATGGGTTACAATTTAATCAGACATTTTTACTAGGCAGATTTGTGATTATACACAAACCTGACACTTTATCTTTGATTTTCATAATTATAACTAAAATGAAAATGTTCAGCAAAATGTTTGTGTTGAAACTACAGAGAATCTTTTGTTAGTTTTACAATAAGAAGATCATGGTGGTGCTTTATCTGTCACCACCAGTATTTAAAGTTTATTTTTGAAACCCATAATCTATCCATATTTTACTTGACAGCTGTATATTAGTCTTATTTCAAGTTTTTAAAGGCTGCTATTAAAAGATCATTAGAATGTTTTACATCATAGGTAAAATTGTGAAAAATAGGTAAAATCTCAAATTTCTAAAGCAAAAAAGAGCAAACCATAAAAATGATTAGGAAGAACATTTAAAGAGGTTTAAAGTCCAACACTCCCACATACCAAAGTGTTTCCTCTGAGGACAATCTTTGTACAATATTAGTGATAGAATAGAAATTTGTAAATATCAGAGTCTAAAAGTTAAAACTTCTCATTCATTCTATCTCCAACAGGCGCTTTGATCATCGTCCCGATGTGGACTCTTACTGTGAAGCTCTGTACCYGTTCTGTCCCACCGGAGACCGAGATGGACGCATTCCCTACATGAGAGACAGTGATGTCATCTCTGTTTACCGGCTGCAGACGCCAGTGTGGGAATTCAAGTATGGAGATTTACTGGGAAAACATGTAAGTGCATAAATTACCTTGTGTTGAACAAAAACAAATTGTCTGTCTGGGTCTCTCTGTTTCTCCATATATAATTTAGTTTTTTTTTTTCACTTTACAGTCCTACATTAGTTTCAGTAGGAGGCTTTAGGCTTCCAGATGCATACAGTTTGTTAAATTTCTGTGCATTATCTTTTTCAAAAATATTTAAAGAACTGAGTTTACTGTTCTAGTTGTGACCAAATATAACGGTGCGTTGAAACCACAAGTGCAGCTGTGTGACCGAACTAAAGAAACACAGCAGTTACACCATGTTTCTGTTCCCAGCACATCATGCACGACGCCATTGGCTTCAGCAGYTCAGAGACTGGGGCCAACTACACCATGGAGTGGTACGAGCTCTTTCAGCTGGGCAACTGCACCTTCCCTCACCTCAGGCCGGACGCAGCTGCTCCGTTCTGGTGCAACCAGGGTGCTGCCTGCTTCTTCGAAGGGATCGATGACGTGCACTGGGAGCAGAATGGCACTCTGGAGAAAATAGGAGAACTCACAGGTGAGACTTTACATCTCACAGGTTCTTAGGACTAAAGATCTAAATGTACTCACAGTGTCCACAGTAGTTAGTTTCAGCTTGAGAATGTTTATATAGAGGTCCTTCCTCTGTACAAAATACATTCATGATTGCTTAATGTTTCTAAGTACACTGCCTGGCCAAAAAACAAGTCACCACCTGGATTTAACTAAGCTGGGGCTGCTGCAGTTGGTCAGGTCTAGGTTCAGCAAAGAATTTCGGACTTCAGCTGTCCTGAATATACTGAGTAACCAGGTTATTCCATTAATGGATTGTTTCTTCCCTGATGACACGGGCATATTCCAAGAGGACAATGCCAGGATTCATCGGGCTCTTATTGTGAAAGAGTGGAAGCACGAGACATCCTTTTCACACATGGACTTGCTCCACAGAGTCCACTTAGAATCTTTGGGATGTGMTGGAGAAGGCTTTGCACTCCTTTAAGGAATGCTGAACATTTAGTTGTAATTAAACAGTACACAGTGTGTATTTATTAGTCATGTTTTGTAAACAGGGATTAGTATGTTCAGTGTAATTTTAGAATAATCCCATCTTTTTAAATAGATGTGATCAACTACTAAAATCACACTTTTCTTTCTCCAGATGCTCTCTATGAAAACACCAGGACCATTTAGGCTTTTTTCTATTATAATCCAGTGAATTCATCTTGTTTTATGTGACTCAGTAACTGACGGATGTCTCTGCATGAAAGTTATGGATTTGACTTTTTCATTTGAAGTCTTTTACTCCGCAGGGAACCAGTTCAACGACATGGCCCGATGGGTGCAGGAGGACAACCGGACTGGGATCTACTACGAGACATGGACGGTCCTCTCTGAGCCCGGCCCCAACGCCACCATGTGGTTCCAGTCGTACGACTGCTCCCAATTCGTCCTCCGCGCGTACAGGAAGATGGCCGAGCTGGGAGCCAAACTGCGCAGCCGATCGCAGACCAACTACACCAAGATCTACCTGTACAGCGGGGAGCCCACGTACCTCGGCAACGACAGCGCCATCTTTGGACAGCCGGCGCTGAAGAACCTGGCAGCAGACATCCGGCAGTTTTACCACTATTTCAGATCGCACCAGTCCTTCCTGGAGTTGGTTTTCAGCCTGTTGGAGGCTTTCAAGAAGATCGTGTCGGACAAGAGCTTCTACCTCTACTACAACTTTGAGTACTGGTACCTGCCTATGAAACCTCCGTACATGAGGATTACATATGAAGAGGTGCCTTTGCCTTAATGGCCTACTTYAGTTATTACTGCCCGTCAGTGAAATGCAGACGATGTTGTTTTTGCCTGTTTGTGTTTCGCTCTGTTAGCAGAATAACTCATTATGCACTGGATAATTAGCACTAAAACTGCACATTAGCTGGGAGTAATCCCAACTACTCCCAGTGCCAACAATTTAACATGCAGTGCCTTTTATCTGTTTAACGTTGAAAGAATTGCTCAACTGTTAATAATAATAATAATAATAATAATAATAATAATAATAATAATAAAACATGTTAAGTACATTCACAATATTTTTATTTCAGTATAAGATCATGTCAGAAACAATTTTAATTTATAACAGGTGATCAATAAAGCAAAATTGACAAACTTTTTTTTGCTATACAGAGAGAACTATGTTTCTTCTAAGAAATTAAAAGATCTCTTCATAAAATGGTTACAGGTTAATGAGAAATATTTTTCACTGATTTAGCTGAAGTTGACAAAAAAACTGAAGCGAATTTACTTTGGAGCCACAACCACACAAATCAAGAAAATATGTAGGCGATATGTAACGGTATGATTGACGTGAACACAGACAGCACAGGTTCAGTCCAGTAACGCCAAGATGCATTCACAACTCTTGAAATTAATCTGCTTAAATACAACCCAGATTAAATCTGGTTTAAACATGTCCTTATAACAAAAAGTTTGCCCACTATTAACATCTTAATGAAAAATACATGTTCATGTTTTCATTTAAACATAGTTTAGAAGATTTTAACAACATATGCAAGTTAAAGGGTTTGAACGTGATCTAATAAAAAAAAGCTTAATGTCTCCTCAGTCCATATTCTCTTTAACATTTTTCCAATTATTTTTCTTTATTGCTTTTAGAATTCATGTGATTAAAATCAGAGGGGTATACTACAAAGCAAGTTCAATAAAACAAGGATTTGTTCTCTTAGCCTGGCTTGAGAAAACTTAAAATTTCACTAAGAAATTACAAGTTCTTTGAAAGTATTTTTTATTTTGTTTGTTTCCCAGTGCATTCAAATATAAAAKGGGCGTTCCATGGGTCGTTTGGTACTTTTCCCACTCAAAATGCAAATATAGCTAYAAAAATTTTTTTTGTTCATGCTGAGACTTCATAAAAAAAGCAGGTTGTAGCCTAATAAAAATACTGCTGCCACAATTATGACCAGAGAGGAATATTCCTCAAATGTTGCAGAAACTGTTTGGTCTGGTGAAACACAAAGATCCCCACATAAAATTAGAACAGCAAAGTTTGCATTTTTATTAGAATAAATTAAAATAAACAAAAATAAATTGAGTGACTCTGACAACAAAATGCCAACATTTATTTACCACCTAAACATGATACTCTTGGTAAGTCCGGGCCGAACTCTGATAGATGTTGATACAGCAGAATCAGGGAACGAGCTGCTCTTCTTACTGACAGTCAATCAAAACTTTGAACTCATAACCTGAGCTGGTTATGAGCCAAGTCATCGTGATCTAGCCACGCTCGAACAGATCCTCCCGTTTCACAGGATATCTTGCTTCATAGTACAACCACATATTTGTGTTATTTAAGTCGACTCACACTGGTGTGGAAAAAAAAGAAAAATCTAAATTTTGAGAGTCGTGGTTACAATGGACCACCTGTGTGCAACAATATCACAACAGTAACAGGTGAATGTATCAACAAACAAATCTCTGCTGGTCTGCATTTCGTATTTACCTCAAAAACAAATTATTTTACTTTATTACACAGCTTAGTTTCTCTGGCGACTAGAGTCTGAAAAAGATGCAGCCAATAAAAAAAGAGAAGTCTGGTTTTAGGAAAGACGAGAGTAGCTGCTGCTAAAGCAAACATCGAAACCCAACAGGGTGAAATAAAGAAATAAGTACTTTTCTATTCATAAGAATCAAACACGAAGCATTTTATATACAAATGAATTTGACTTCCTTCTTAAAGGAAAAAAAAAGTTTCACTCATCTGACTTGACTAATGAATGAATGAATGAATGAATGAATGTGGAGCAGAGGCAGTAAGGACTCCTGCTTCATTTTCCTGAGTGTGATACTAAGATGCAGAGCGAGCATGAGCTGAAAAAGCTCAGGTGCTCCTAACGGAGAGGATGAAAAGCTTCATCAGGCAAATAACAGAAGATACATTTGAAACTTATATAGGAAATAAATTAATTTAATGCACCTAAATCTGCATTCRAAGCTAAAAGCTGCAGAGATGAGTCTTGTGCTGAATGACTACAAAACACCAAATATCTCCGGATTCATCCAGCCAGTATATTCAATATTTACAGAAAGTCACTTGATTTTTACCCTCAGAAATTACATGGTTATTATTTCCATACACTGTTCCTGGCATCTGATTTAAGAGAGCTTCAGTGCATAATAATTAACCATCAGAATCTTTGCTTCATTTGGCTGTAAAGACTTGAATTGTCCCAACTATCATTTGGTTTACAGGTAAGGTGCGTAGAAATCATCTCACTGTACAGAAACYTTCTTCTACCAAGAGGAAAAGTAGTGTTTCAAACCATTACACAGAATGTGTGAACAAAAGGGAGCAACATCCTGAAGAATTAGCAAAATATGAAATTCTGTTCAGAATCAGTCAACACTGTACACCTTCATGCCACATGTCAGATTGATGTTATATACACATTTTAGTTAACGTCACCAGGCGGCCGGGGAAAGGGTGTAATTGCTCTGTTCAAAAAAGAGATGTAGGCAAAACTCCCTCAGAAACCTGAACAATAGGGTCGGGCAATATTGGCAAAAAATTAATCATGATTAATTGTGGTATTTAGCCGATAATGATTAATTTGATGATTAATCCCCTGGAGTCCCTGGACACCCTTATGTCCTAGTCACATGACCAATTTAGTAGGAAAGATTTGCTCTTTGGAAAAATCTGTTAAAAATTGTGTCAAAATTACAGACTTCAGGCTGTACATCAAATTTTTAATTGTGTTGATAGATAAATTGCAGAACTTTTTCATTAAATGTTTGTCATATTTGAAGTGAAGAGGAGCATCGAGCTCTGTTGGCATTAATCGTATTAATCGTCAARTGCCAAAAAATAATYGATTAATGTTTTTCTGATGATTAATTGCACACRATACGATTATGCCCAACCCTACAGGACAACCAGATCTGTCTCACTGCCTATTTACATGGAACACTGCAGCTATTTGGAAATCTCAAAAGACATATTGTGTCACACAGCTCAGAGCTTCTCTCCCATGGTAGTGTACCAACATGCACCTAAAATAATAATAAACAGTAAAACACATCTGCACACTTGCCTACACACACTCTCTCTGGATCCAGACCATCACAGCTGAGGAACAATGTTTAAACTGAATTTAGATGTTAGTAATGTGTGGATTTTCTTCTAACTGCTCCATCGTAGAGAGMAATGTCTCCAGTTTTTGCAGGGTTGTGTAAAGTTTGGGCACAACCCTGCCTTTCACTCCAAACAAGAGTTCTGCTCACCATGTTGGCACCGAATGTTTCAACTTCAGCTGAGCGTTTAAACACTTTTTGATTTATGATTGTCCAACAAGAGCTCTGATGAGCTGAACCCTCGGTGCTCAGCTTTCTGCTACCAGGTCGGCATCATGTCCGGGAACCAGACCCGGCCCAGGTGCTTCGACACCTCCCAGTGGATCTCATCCAGAGAATATTTATGATCTGGAATCAGCACCTCCTCCATGATGGACAGCTGGGACAGCCTCCTGCCGCACATTTTGACAAACTCTACAAATGCGCTGCAGGACACCTCGCACTCTCCCAGGCCGATGGCCGACAGCTGAGTGCAGTGCTTGGCGATGCGGATTAGCTCTTCGTCCAGAGGGCGCAGACCGTTAGCGCATACAACCAGCTCCACCAGACGGGGRCAGTGCAGTCCAACACGACCCAGGACCTCCTTGCTGACTGAGCGGCCAAAGTAGAGGTGCGTGACAGGGATCTCGTCGTTGAAGAACGGGCCGAACTCGTCCTCRTAGAGGAAAAAGTACATGACCAGGTTGAATTTGGGTGAGTGGCGCACCATGGCGTCCCAGCTGCTCTTCTTGATGGAGTGGAAGTGCTGGCCTGGGTTCTCGCTCACCACATCGATACGCAGGTGCTCCAGGTGGACGTGTTTCTCTGAGGACAGGGCCAGGAGGAGCTCGTCACTGAGGAGGTGGTAGTTCAGCGCGAGCTCTCTCAAACCGTGGCACTGGTCTGCCACACACAGGATCCCTAAAAGCAGAAACAGAATTTGTTTTTTAGTGCAAACCAATTATCCAACCCTGTTTTTAATTTCAACTTGAGAACAAAAAGGTCCTTTGTATTTGGCTGGAAAACTAGTTCAATCAACAGACTATACTGGAAAACAAACAAACAAACAAAAAAAACTCTATTAGGAAAATGAATGTCACAGCAAGAAACCACATAACAGTTTATT